CCCCTTCGCCCCACATATATAGTACTTTATCCATTCCAATATATGTGATGTTATTTGATTGTGCACGAAATTTAAGAAAGAAAGATTTTTGAATCTTATGGTCTAGAACAAGCTATAGAAATGGAAAGTGAATTGTTAAGCTGGATCCATATCTAACAAGCTACAACTAAGAAATTTAGTGTTGGTCTGAGTTTTTAACGTTAGTTGGATTACTAAAAGCGCGTAATGTGGATCTTCCCTAAAGAAAAGTGATTGTAGAAGGGCATTTCAGTTTTGGATTTTTGCGGAATAATACTTTTAAAGCTAGATTGTTGAGCACTTGAGCTAGATTTTTGGGACTATATAAAGATCTGTTAATCTTGTAAAGAGACCAAATGTAATGAGAATGGATAGAGGAATGTAAAAGACTGCAAAGCCGTCTTTTAGCTTTTTCACTGTGCTGCAATTATTGGAATTTCATAAGTTGTAGAACTAAGTGCAATTTATGCACTTTCTTCAAGTCTGAGAAGTAATGCTGTCGTTAAGCAGATTGTCACTTGGTGATACCATGAAGCTATTGTTAAACATCGTGGAATCATTTAGAGTGTATTATGCATCTTAGAAACTTAGTTGGGTGACTCTTATCCACTCAACTGATTTCTGTCAGCTGGAGCGTGGAGTCTCTATAGGCTAGGTTGACCCATAAACATTAGCCTTCCTTATTTTGCTTCGATTCTCTGGCAAATGCAAATAGAGTACAGACTGAAGTAAAACCAGATTTATGTGTTGCACGGTACTGACCTTTTCTCAAGCTCTTATCCATCTTTTATTAGATGATTGATAGTATTAGTGATACTGAAAGTTGACATGCATTGTGGTGTTAAAACGAGCAGTCTTGCTTATCTCTGAATGCAAACATCTCATCCCTGCCTGTTTTATTTGGTTGTTTCTGCTTTGTCTCTCCAGTTTACTATTCAGTACTAAGATTAGTTAGTAGGCAATAGGCAAAAGGCAGCATACAAATTATAGTTGTTTACTTCTTGTAGACATGATTGTGACATTACCGTTTTCCATGTACTGGTTCTTGAGGCAAATGGGGATTAAGTGTGGCCTTGAACTAAGCAAATCGTTTCTAAGGGTTTTATCACATATTTAGAGTCCTTGGGAATTCTCATGTTTGGTAACACCAGGACCGTAAAAGTGATCGTCCCCTATGCTTCCAGTTGAGTTTAAGGCACCTAAGCTAGTGAGTTTTTGATGCTAAAGAGTAAACATAAGTTCCATAAAAGCCTAATTCTTGAGTGATTCCATGTGGCATTATATTATAAATGTTAAGCTAAGTATTCCACTACGGCGTAATGTAAGTTATCTGCTTTGCTCTAGGAATCATGGTTCTTTTTACAATTAATTTTCTACTTCTTCTCCGTGTTCCAATATCAATTCTTTTCATATCACATATAGTTTAGTATATCTTTGGATGGATGCATTTGGGACTTTAGTTGGTTCGACTCTTCCCATCTTCTTTTATTTTTTCCTTTTGTTTTTATTCCAAAGAATGATGTTTAGATGTTGGAAGATGAGCATTTTCTCTACAATTTTTGTTCCATTGCACCTGCTAAACCAGATTAACCCTGTGTGATCATCTCTAGGTCTTTACTTGTGCTTATTTTACCAAAGGAAAAGTAGAGGCGTTCTTTTCTATACAGGAAACTCGCCTTTACTTGAGTTTATTTTACCACGTCATAAAGACATGTTTTGTGTTACACTTTCTCTATTTTTCTTAATTTTTACTTGCATATCTAATTAAATGGAGGTTGGGCTCTAAGCTACACTTGCCTAGAAGCTCGAATGCAACATGAATGTGGTTTGCATATTCTTGCAGAAGCACTCACAAGTACCAAAATTTGGCAACTGGGAGAACGACGAAGATGTTGCCTATACTACCTATTTTGAGAATGCTAGTAAGGGTAAGAAAGGCAGTAAAATGAATCCAAATGATCCTCAGGATCCTGAGGCAGAAGTAAAAGGTCAAAATGGAAGAGATGCAGTACGATCAAAAGATGAGCGTTTTTCCAGGAGAGATGATGTAGAATCGCGGAAATCAATTGACTCCCCATTGCACCCAGATACTATGGGTCAAAAAGCTCCAACTTGCTCATCTCCACAACGATATGGTGTGAAATCTGTAGGCAACAAGTCAGAATCAGAAACAATGAAGGGTGCGGAAATCCCAACAGCAAGGCATGAACGTCGGCCAAGTAGAGAAGAGTATCTGAGGAGACCTACTGATTCCCCAATGCTCAATGAGAACACGGGGAGAAGAACTCCTATGGAATCACCTCATCATCGCTATGGCGGCTTAAGTGGTGGTGCTACACCTAAGCGGGCCTCTCAGCAAAGTGGGGGACCTGATCGCAGCATTGAGCACTCTCCGCTGCATACACATTCCCAGGGAAGGGTTGGAGGCAAAGGTGGTGCAGTTTCCTCCCCGTCGTGGGAAAGAAAGGTTTCATCTGAAGGTAGTCAAGGCCTGGCTCCCTCTACACCTGGAAGATCCCGTCTAAGATCAGTTACGAAAGGTGATGACATGGTATGTCTTTTTGTCATTTTCTTGCTGTCTACATCCAGGACAAGTATGATTATTAAGACACTTCTGCAGCAATAAACGTAGGTCCCTCGCCAAACTCGTATAAGAAAACAGATGAAATATATTCCTGTTCTCTATAATTGTTGTGAATTAGTCCAAGAGCACTTGTAGCAAGGAAAAATAAAAGGTCTTCCTTTATGATGGCATTATTTATGATGCAACTCTTTTTCTTTTCGCGGCGACTACTGATTAGCTTTCTGATGGGCGAACTTCATTTCCAAACCTTCATGATTGGTTATTTTACACTACTTTCCTATTTTACTTTTCCACCGACTTTGGGAAGAATGTGTAAGCTTACTTCCAAATAAAAAAGAAAAGAAATCCAAGGAAAAGGAAAAAGAAAAAGGTAAGGAAACCTATTCCGTAAAAAAGGGGTGCCTCTAGGACGTATTAGATTATCCCACAAGCCAATCTATCTATCTTAATGTACTCTTTGATTGTCGATCTATATGGAAACTACAAATAGGCGCATACTGCTTTGAGTCATAGGAAGAATATAACACAGTGTATTTGCAGTCTGATGACAGCCCTGCTGTTCCTAAATTTGGTGACTGGGATGAGAGTGATCCTGCATCAGCAGAAGGTTACACACAAATATTTGACAAAGTGCGAGAGGAGAAGCAGACTGGTGCAGCAAAAGTACCTGGCACGTCAACTGATACATCTTATTCCAACAGTCAGAAGCGATATGGAAATGACAGTGGAAAGGTATGTACATTTAGTTTTCTGATACGGCAAATCCCCCTCCCTTAACCCCCTCTCCAGGGGCCAGCAGTGGCTTTTCCCCATCTTAGTGACTCGAACTCCCAACCTCATTGTACGTAACTCATTCGTGTTGGACCAAGCTTTTGTTAAATATACTGCAGTCTAATTGTTTGTGAAACTCCAACACATTGTCATAGTTTTTTCGGAGATTGTTGCAACAAAAAGATAATGAATGACCTCTTACTAATCACTCTAGTAAAGTATTACTCACTTTTTTGTTTTACGTTTTGTAACCTCTCATAGCCAACTCCAACTTGCTTAGGATTGAGCCATAGTTGTGGTTTTCTAACCTCTCCTCATTGCTGTTCTTTGCAGGGATGTTTGTGCTTTCCGTGGGGTCGGAGTTGACAGTTCTGAGGATGGGAGTTAAGAAAAACACCTGGGGCATGTACCCTATTTTAAAACATAAAACTTTGGTTATGTATAGGTTTAGGTCTGGTATATATGTTGTTCATTGTGTGCTTTGGATGAGAACTCTTTTTATTTAGAAAACGACGAAGGGAAAGAAAAAACAAACAAAGAGAAATTGAAATGGACTGATAACATTCTTCTTTTTCTGGTATCCAAGTAGTTGCTGGCTTCCTTTTCATATGCAGAGTTATCATACTATTTTTACCGAGCCGAGGGTCTATTGGAAACAACCTCTTTATTTCCACGAGGTAGGTGTAAGGTCTGCGTACACACTACTCTCAGACCTCACTATGTGGGATTACACTGAGTATGTTGTTATTGTTGTTGTTGTTATCATAATATCTTGTTAATCAAGCTTTTGCTCAACTGTTGCTTGGAGTCAGAAGCATATATGCAAGAAATGGAATTGTGTGGTATTTGAATTCTGTCTCTCTCCCTATCTGCAAACTTGTGGCTTGTGCCCTTATTTGTTACAGGAAAGATTTATCTGCACCGCGGTATTTACACCAAAACAAGGATAATATTACTTGTATCTTCGACATATACTTTATCACGTAATCATGGTTAATCAATGTATATTTCTCCCTCCTATTTATGACTCAACCATGGTTAATTAATGTGGTTATGAGAATGTTTTCTTGGTTTGCTACCCTAGTAATTTTCATCTTAATGACCATGTAAAAAATTTAAATATCTAATTGAGTAAATTACACAATGCTTTGCAAAGGTATCCATTAAGCATTTTTTATTGCTATTGTACCTCTTTTATTTTTATTCAGGCTAAGAGAGTTGATTTTCAGAAGGTTGTGCGAGGATTGCAAAGTTATCCCAGGTGAGACCCTTGCAACGCAACATAGGCTCTTGGTGATGGACGTTAGTATTATGATAAGAAGGAAACAGAGGTCAGTACGAGGCCGCCCGAGGATTAGGTGGGGCGCCTTGACTAAGGTTAAAGCCCAGGAGTTGGAAGGAAGGTTGTCGGCAATGGGAGCTTGGAGAAGTAGTGGGGACGCAAACACTATGTGGTCGACGACGGCGGACTATATAAGGAAGGCGGCGAGAGAGGTGTTAGGGGTATCTTCAGGCCGCACTGGTGGCCACAAAGGAGACTGGTGGTGGAATGCAGTTGTACAAGGTAAAGTGGAAGCGNAGAGTGCGAAGGACGGTGTCTATTTCAGACAATCAGTTCGGGTTCATGCCGGGGCGATCTACCACAGAAGCTATCCACCTTATTAGGAGGATGGTGGAACAATACAGGGATGAGAAGAAGGATCTCCACATGGTGTTTATCGATCCAGAGAAAGCANATTGTGGAGATCGAGCATTAAGGTTGTAGGTTAGGGGAAATTGTGATGTCTTTTTTACAGCGCACTAGAGTGAGACTAGCCGGTTAGGAATTAGTCATAGGATGCTATTGATCAACTACTGATGATGGACTTTATCTTCTGTATATTAATACCTTACATATTCTCGTATTTCCTATATCTCGTATATTGCTGTTACTTTGTTTTTATGGTATTTATGTTATGTTATGGATTTTATGGTATTTTATGTTGTTTTATTATGAGTCTATTGATAGTACTAATATAGTGTCTCTTGTTGCCTCTTTGAGCCGAGGGTCTCCTGGAAACAGCCTCTCTACCCCTCGGGGTAGAGGTAAGGTCTGCGTACATATTACCC